CCTCTTTGCCACCCACCTGCTGGTCAGGGTGGCCATGCCAGGGCATCCAGGGGGCCACGGCCATGCCTGCCTCCCCCATGTCCAGGCGGCTGTGCTCCACCGTCGACTCATGTGCCATCTGCGACGGGGAGAAGGCTTGCAGCGAGGGGCTGGCACTGACCAGCCATGGGGCTGGGTGCCCACCATCAGCCCTGTACCCTCTTCAGGCAGAGAGGGAAACTGAGGGACAGCAGGGTGGGGCTGGGAGCTGCATACCAGGACAGGGGGTGCCCGGAAGAGGTAGCTGAACGGGTAGTAGAGGAAGTTGATGAAGGAGGCAGCATAGAGGTCCGCGTAGCGCATCAGCTGGTTTCCTCGGCTGTTTGGAAAAGTGCGTCTGGGGGGAGCCACAGCGAAAGAGGCTGCCCATCTTCCCGTAGCACATGTCCATCTCGTGTGTGACTTTCTGCGGGCACAGTGCGATGGTCAGGGCACCTGACACAGCCCCCCAGGGGTGTCCCCCATGTTGGGGGGGGAGGGCCTGCGCTGTGTGCTAACTGGGACGGTGCCCTGGGCATCACCTGAATCCGACGCTTGATGGAGCTGATGTCTGGGCGCTCACTGCTGCCGCTGTCCAAGTGCCTGGGGCAGGAGAGAACCAGCTCGGGTCTAGCCTGGAGCGTCCCCCACGGGTTCCTGCACCCCGCCTGTCCACCCCATGCCCACTCACTGGTACAGCTCTGCCAGGAAGAGGTCCAGGCTCCGCAGCTCCTCAAACAGCTCTGCAAGGGAAATGGGGCTAGCTCAGTGCAGGCAATGTCCCCCGCTGCCCAGCATAACCGACATGGAGTGTGGGCACACGGCCCACTGGGGCCGGTTCTGTCACCAGGGCAGACAGGAGACCCCAAGCCACCTCCCCCAGCTGGGCTCAGCCGTGTCCCTGGCTGGGCAGGGCCCGTGTCCCCAGCTGGGTGCTGCTCACCGCTTTTCTCCGTCCAGACCTGCAGCTCACGGGCCAGCTCGGGCACCACCAGGAAGGTGCGCCAGCCCTGCCGCTTCTTGGACTTGAGGATGTCCCCAAAGATGTGGTCCCCCATGTAGAGGATGTCTTTGCCCTTCACACCCAGCAGGTCACACACCACATCTGAGGAGCCTGCAATAGCCAGATGTCAGAGTGATGGGGTGGGCACATCCCTTGTGCTGCCCACAGAGCCCGGCCAGGCGCTCACCGCCAGAGTAGACGGCGCAGTGCTGGAGCGGCCCGGTGTACGTCCCGATGCGCAGCTTCCCCGTGTCCTGTGAGACAAGAGGACCCCAGGATGGGGGAGTTACCACCACCTGCGCCCGCTCAGTGCTCACCCAACAGCAAATCCACCCCACCGTGCCCATGGGAGACACCGTGGTGCCCACTGCCCTTGACTGTGGTAGTGGAGGGGTCCCCACCGTGTTGACTTGGCGCAGGACGGTGCCTTCGGCAAAAAAGAGTGGCTTGCGGGTGTCCACCACAATGAGGTCGAAATAGGATCTCCAGGGTCGCTGCGGGGTCTCGGCCTGCCAGGCATGGGGCTGAGGGGGTCAGTGAGGGGCTGCAATGGCACCCTGCACCCCCACCCACCCTAGGACAGACTCACCTTGTCCCCATCGCTGAAGTCAAACAGGTAGGACATGATAGCCTGCAAGGACACTCACCTCGTCATCACTGTCCCCAGGTAGGACAAACCCCTGCCTGCGCTTTGCCCCCCCTCAAGGCCCCCCAGGGCAGGCTGGACCTGGGGTGGGGGG